GTTCCAACACTTACAAACACATATTTCTCAGTCCATTCATCAGTGAACTACTTTTAACTTTGACTTTTCTCCTTTTTAATGTAGGAAGAGACATTGCGTATATATACAGTAGCACCTACCACATGACAATCCTGGTTGGCAACTCCCTAGGCTGACAGACGGTCCAGTCCCACCCATCCAGAAATGGCCGTGTGTCTTCCGTGTCCAGGTGTTGTGTGGGCGTCCCCTTGGCCTGATCCAGCCACTTGGGTCCTCAGCAATGAGGACCCTGAGAGCCGGATCACCCTCAGGGAAACACGCCACATAGCCGTAGTGCTGTAACTGATCCTCCCTCATAATGCAGGTAATGTGTCTCATTCGGGATTCCCGTAGCAACCAGTTGTTCGACACAAAGTCAAACCAGCAGTACCCAAGGATTCTCCAAAGAGACACAGTATCGAAGGAGTCCAGTCTTCGTCTCAAGAGTAGCAGTGAGCAGTTCATGCAGAACCTCAAGTCATTGAGGGTGCGACAACAAGGACTAAATACAACTGTGAGCATTCTTGGCCAAAAATAGTTTATCTTGATTTTTTTTTCCAAATACATATCAAATTTGATTGTCGAAATTAATCAAAGGGCCTGATAAAATATGCGGTCAGCCATGGGTTGAAGTGGTATAACAGACATCATTATGCTTGTAATGTACTGTCTGCCTTGTCTGATCCTCTGCTAAATAAAGAAATGTAAATGTAATGTTAGTTGCCCTGCCAGCTGTGCAAAAATTAATTAATTACTGTTCAGGATGCCTGCCAATTTCCCTGTGACTGGAGGATTAAGAGGCTTTATAGATAACACCAGCCACATCCCGACAGAGGGGAGGAGTGTTTCACAATTAATTTGGATAAAAACTATGCTACAGCTGTACTGTGGCTGGGTGACTGAATGTGATTGGATGATTTGATGTAAGTAGTAATCACTTGGTAATTGGGTAGAGAATTTGTATTCGACCAAATGATAGAATAGGTACATTTCAGAAATTGAATGTAGCAGGGCTTAAGCATTAGGCTTAAGTCAGTCTAGTTCTTATGTCAGTGCATCAGAGAAAATGAGAATATCAGGAAATTGACGATAGAGCACCAACACTCTGGCACTTTCTGCTGCGCAGTGATACGATTGGTGCCTGGAGTTCGGTGGAAGAAAATGGTTCCTACATTAAACTGCTCAATGTATCTTCTGGCGCTTTAATCACTGCAGAAGGAATGCCATTCAGTCCCATTACATGAAAGAGAACACTGACATTTCTATGGCCGATATCTCCAAAACTAGGCAACTCCCGGAAGAACAAACCTAGATGGATAGATACCACTAAACCCCCTCTAAAACATATCTTTTATCAGTTTTGGGGTTAACTGCCCCTTTAAAGTGAAGAGCAGTAGGCTGGTTGCAAGGAAAATGTCTCCTGTTTCATGCAATGTAGAGCCAATGAAATCACTTCTGAAGGTTTCACTGTTACGACTTCTGATTGGTGGCTGAAGTTCCATCCAAGCTATAAGAATTTTGATATGAAAAACCATCTCCAGTGGCTTGTCCAGTGCAGCATCTTGGAGGAGGCCTGTAGTCAATCACAGGCTGCACAGGACAGAAGGTGGGGAAACTACCTGGATGGCAAGCACTGGCACTGCAAATGCTAAATTGCTGTATGTATAAAGTATGTAAGTCAAACTTTTTATTTAAGTAGTTAATCGTCCACCAGCTATACAGCACTAGCCACTTTACTTACTTTACGTTGCTTACTTACCTACATCATAGACTGCACAACTAAAAATCGCCTGCTATCTACATTTGCACTGTGAATCCAACCTGTTTGCACTGCCTTATTGTATTTTCCACAAAGTATTTTAGTTTCATTTTATTTTTGAATATTTGTATGTCTTGCTCGTCTGTTTTGCTTGTCGTAGTTAGTGCACTCACTGTAGGGTCTGAGAGTAATTTCAGTTCTCTATTTGACCTATACATATGGCAGCATTAACAATAAAGACTTTTGACTTTGACTTTTAATTTGAAGTTAAATACGGCAAAATCGAGTTGATTAAAGTTTACATTATTTATGTTTATGTATAACACAACTATAAAATCATAAGAACAAATTTCTTGATAATTTAACAAACCTTCAAACTGTAGATCACTAAGTGCTGTATAAGATACAGTGAAACTCGAAAGAGATCACGTATTGGAAAAACTTGTCTTGTCAGCACATTTGAGTACAACTTTTGATGGAAGCACCCTAGTGATAATGGCTGCAATTTTTATAATCAGGTCCCATTCAGGATGCATTGTGAGTGGTCTCTCAAAGACACATCTGCATTCTCAAATCACTGCAACAGAGCTTGTATTGGATTATTACATTTATCCAGTGAGAAAGTGGAAATTTTCAACCCCATTAAACAAACTACAGTGGCACATTCAGGTAATTTTATGGTTTATGGTTTTAGAAAGAAGTACTACAGGGTACAATACTTTCTGGTCGCTCTGTAGGTTTATTCTGAGTGCACAGTGTAGAAATGAGCATAGATATGAATATTAACGAAGAAGTCATGGTATGCAGTATGAGGGTGTGAGCAGGCACTGGTTACTCTGATTTAAGTTTTCTATAGCACCATACATAGTTACAAAATAAAAAAGATACATTTAGTAAAAGAGCATTTCCACAATGAGAAGGATTTCCTTTATTTGAAAGCCCAGTGAACTTGAAGGCTGCTGTATTTGAGCAGTTCTGTTTTTATGAATTTTTGTCTCCCAGTGGTTCCTAAATTTTCATTTAATCTGTCTGTATGACAGACTGACTTTCCCAGATGCCCCCAAGCCAGACCACTTCTCGTTCCCCAGCAGTTTGAAGATCCTTAATAGATTTGTGACAGTTTTTTAGGTTTATGTGTGTAATCTGTTGCAGACGTAGAACATGTGGTTTTGCTACCGATCCGTCTCCATAGACACTTTTCTTCAATGCAATACCTCAAAGAGTTGTTGGCTATTCTTCTTCAAACAAAGCAGAGACAATGTCTGGGTGACAAACTGGAAGTGATGAAATTTTGAGACAGATCACACCAATGAGCAATGAGATGGCCTGTTTTGACATTTGACCTTGTTTGAAAGTATTGATTAAAAAACTTAAAAAGTATTTGATGGATCATATTACTACAACATAAAAAAATGTTTTATGAGTGAAGATCTACACTTTATTTCATTTTGAGGCAAATTGCACCAAAATTGAAGCATTGGCTCTAAGTGGCAGCAAAGTGAAGGGTGGCTGTACAAGGTGCTTGACCTTGTGAAAAGGTTCACTCTGATTTTTTTTAACTCTATTTACTGTGATTGATCTTTAGTGGATCGTATTACCACTTCACAAAAACATATGAATGAAAATCTACACCTGAGATGCGTAAGCCAAATCACCCCCAAGTTGATGCAGCACTGCTAGGTGGCAGTAGAGGATGGAAAGGTTGGCTGCAGAAGCCATCTTGTGAACAGTGACAGTCTGAAAGTATGGATCTTTTCCAAACTCCAAAGGAATATTGTATTGGTCAGTGGGCCTCAAACGGTGGGATGCAAGATGATTTTCTAAATATTCTAAATACAGTTGATATTTTTTTTTCTTGTTTCCACCCCCCTGCTCAGCAGATTTTATTGGTAGCAGTCCAGTAGTCAGTCAGCGGAATGTATCACAGGGAACTTGGCAAAATGTTAATTATGTCATGTAGCCATAAACCTATTAAATGATGGCACATGAAAGAGTAGGCGCAGATGTGGTGAACCTGATTTCATTGAGATAAGTCACCTAAATTTGGTATTTTGGAGAGGCAGCGTGAGTACAGTGTAGGACATTTCTTGTGCATACCCACATTAAAATACCAGAATAGCAGTGCTTTTGAAAATAGCATCAAAATACTACATACCATGGTATGAAGTTTGGACATTTTAAAAATTAGATACTGCTCAAGCCCAGTGTAGAAGGCTAAAGATAGAGCTTGGGGAACCTGGGAGGAGCACCTGGTATGACCAATGCTTTTGCAAGAACAACTCAAGCCTGAGGCCTGCTCTTTCCATTCATTTTGGACAGGGAAGGGAACCGAATTGACGAAAAAATTATCATGCTAAACAGGATCTAGGATGACTAAACCCCTTTGTCTTTCACCACACGATGTCACTGACCTGCAGGTCAGCTGCTAAGCTAAGCAGCTCATATCTCATTATCTTTTGGGCTCAGTTTGGGGCTGAGGAAGAACACGTTTCTCAAGTACCGGTTACCTCGCTTCTGATCTGTTATATAGATTATATAGTTAGAATCAGAAACCAGTTTAATATGTGCTGGATCTGTGCCTTATAACAATGGTCACTTTTTATCCATCCATCCATCCATCCATCCATCCATCCATCTATCCATATCTTAGTGCAGAGGAGTGGAGTTGTCATATTTTTAGTAGAATTCCAACAGAATAGGAATTGTGTAACGCAATACAGGGAGATATAAAATATCTAAAGTTTTTCTCTGGGGCAAATTTTAATACTGATCAAATTTAATACTGATATGTGATCAAATTGCAATTATTACAATGATAGTTATATCGATACTAACAAAGGATTTGAAACAGCAGCAAATAGTCCCAGAAAAATCTAATGAGAGAAACAGGAATCACATCATCTTAACTTTAAATACTGGCACATGACAGTGAGGCTTTGAAACGTGCAATGGGTGAGAGTATTAGTACGGTATCAGTAATCACCTGAATTTACGCAATCAGAGATGGAGGTGTAGGTTAAACCAGCCAGTGACTGGCAGTGTGCAATTATGTCATCCATTGTAGGTCTCAAAGAGTAATTTCACCCATCAGTAGCTGAAGCTGCTGCAGTAAATGACTTTAGGCACACAAGTAAGTTTCCGGCATTTTCCCCCATGTCTCAGTCTCCGTGCAATTCCCTCTCAGAACACTCACTCCCTCTCCATCCCCTCCCTTCTTCCCCAGGAGAATACACTGTCATGACGGCTCACTTCCACCTGAAGCGTAAGATCGGTTACTTCGTGATCCAGACCTACCTGCCGTGCATCATGACTGTGATCCTGTCCCAAGTCTCCTTCTGGCTCAACAGGGAGTCTGTACCTGCCAGGACCGTCTTTGGTGAGCTTTGTGGGAGGGTCAAAGGTTACAGGGGTATAAAAGTTTGAGACCAGTGTTTAAGCTGCTCCATGGCTGCAGCAAGAAGCCTGTTGGAAGGAGACAGGGCACCATCTTGACCTCGCTAGACCTTTGTTTCTGTACAAACTACATGTACTTCCAGTTATCTTTTCATTTTTCTCTTTGCAATCCTTGCATTGTGGTAATTGGTCTGTAATTCGTTACTCATGAGTATAACTTGGCCAATGAGAGCCTGGAAGAGAGCAGACATGTTTTGAGTCACAAACTAATTTTCAGGGCTTATGATTATGTGAGCATGCAGCCTGAGCAATCAAGCTTGTCACCAGAAGCCTCGGCAGTTAAGCTATTTGTCCACAAATCAATATGAATTTGACATTTCTGTTGATACTTTGACCACATGCAGTTTTAAGCTTCCACAAATTCTATAAGAATATGATTTATATCCATCCATTTTCCAACCCGCTTATCCTACTGGGTCGCGGGGGGTCCAGAGCCTATCCCGGAAGCAATGGGCACGAGGCAGGGAACAACCCTGAATGGGGGGCCAGCCCATCACAGGGCACACTCACACACCAGTCACTCACACATGCACACCTACGGCAATTTAGTAACACCAATTAGCCTCAGCATGTCTTTGGACTGTGGGGGGAAACCGGAGTACCTGGAGGGGAAACCCCACGAAAACATGGGGAGAAGATGCAAACTCCACAAACATGTGACCCAGGCGGAGACTCAGAGGTGTGAGGCACAGTGCTAACCACTGCACCACCATGTCCAATCATGACTTATATCAATTAAATAAATGTATATATTAAATCGGTCCCTTTAATATTATAATTATAATAATTACATATTTACGATAATTGCATATTTCAAGATCAGGACAAATTAAGAAATATATAAATTTAGCTGCTTTTGATGTTATTTTCTGATATTCTACGTTGTTGTGTTGAACTGGGTTTTTTCTGTGTACAGACACTTCTGGTCGATCCCAAATTACACTTTGATCATGGGATATCAGTATCAGTGACATCAGTATCTTGCCTACAAATTGTGAGAAGGCTAGAATACTGTTGGCAACAAGTGGCATCTGGGGAAAAAAAAGCAGAAAGATTTTGTTTCTAAGCCGTCAGGCCAGGTGGACTGAACCTTTTCCATTTTCCTACAGTTTTAATAGCTTGTGTTCCTGACATCTAGACTAAGAGCAAAATTGTTCAGTGCACTATGCATATATTTGCACAACTAATGAGACGGAGAATAATCCATAATATGGTAAATCGGGTATTATTTTTTTTTTGGTGGGGGGCGTTCATAAGGGGACCACAGTAGGTTTCTCCTCATTGACAAGATCTCACTATTTTTTATATTTGTTTATTTCGCTGAACATAAAGCAAAGACAGCATCAACTGTATTTATCTTTATAATAAGCTCATTTATCTTTCAAATTGTGACAGATGCTGTGGTAAACGATAGTGCCTCGTTTCTGTCAGTTACACTTCAGGGGGGAGACGATTAGTGTATTTTGCTGCATCCTGCAGAAAATGGAAAATATTCACTCTGCATAATATGCTGCCGTATGTGTTGGGGCTATCAATGTTACGGGAGCATAAAGTGGGTTAGATGATATCAGACGCCGTTCCCTTCTTGTTTACCCAAAGAGCAGTAAAATATATGCAGTAATAATGTTCTATATTCATAAAAACACTGTAAAAGTTTAAGTGGCCAATCAGAGTTGAGGTCAGTCTCATTGTTTATGCAATAATAAGTCTAAACTTGAACAGAATGAAACCAGCTGTCTTTAATACCACAGTGTTGTTCTCCAGATGGCAAGGGTGCAGGAGTCTTTGATCGTGTTTAGGACTTTACTTGGCAAGCGACAACACAATTTCGTACCTTTTGAAAACTGTCTGGTTTTTGGACAATGAACGAACTACAGAGGCTTGGAAATGAACAAAAGATTTTTTTTTCTTTGTGTTACGATGACACCTCTGGAACCCATATATGCTCACTCTCCCAACTGACAGGTAGCCGTGGACCGCAGCCACATGTCGAAACCGTAGAGCTTGTGTAATGCACACTGCAAAGAGCAGCAGAACTCGGAACCACAGGAGGTGACTGACTGTACCAGCTGCAACAACAACACTATCAGGGTCTTAAAGGGAACCTCCACCATGGAGCATAGGGTTCATGAGCAATCCCACAGAAGACCCTTTCCCATTGCAGGAACTTTTTCAGGAACCAGGAACTTCATCAGTGCTACCTTGGAAATTACACAGGTGCAGCGAAAAGAGACAGAAGTAGTGGAACAAACATGGTACAGATAGAATTATTTTGAGGCTACAGAAGTCCTCTTGTGAACCCAATGAGTATGAAAGTATGAACCTTTTTCATACTCCCCAGGAACATTGTATAGGCCAGTGGATCTGCTCAGTGAGTGTGAGATGATTTTCTGAGTATTCTAAAATACAGCTGATACTTTTTTGGTAAGATAAAAATAAGTAGTCAAGCAAAAATGGGCCAGATGGGATTATTTTTCGATCTTAGTTACATGAAAAACTTTGATGAAAAAAGTTCCTGAACTTTGGGGGAAAAGTGCCTAATGAACCACTGCCAATGAATCCAAGCTTCAGATCAGCTGCTAGAAACCTAAAACTTGGCTAGTTGGAATCGCCCTGCACAGAGTGGCAGCCGTGCTCCCCCAAGAACTAGGGTCAAGCTCCAGGGAAAGCCTGGAGTGATGGATTATGCAGTGATGGACTTGAGAAGCACCATCCCGCCGGCCCAGGCTCATATCCTACCCCAGCGCATGTCCCAGAAGACTGGCTGCCCCTCACCTGCATGCATGAAGACGTTTGTCAGGTAACAGGGTGCCAACATCCAGCTGGAGGACCCTAGAAGTTGAAGGCATTGGTGGTGCCCTCGTTTCATTCCGCAAGATGCAATGTGCCAACAGTCTGGAGCATTCCAGCCAGCTGAGGTGGCCATGCGGAAAGGACGGCACAACAGAGAGCGGCCACATCCGGGTTCAGACAGCTGGTCAGCACAGGGCTGTGAAGACCTTGCCCATAAGTCACGGCACCTGGAGATAACTGATGGTGGTAGCTGATTCCTCACGCTCCTGAAATTGGCGCTGGGGTAACTGCCGAGCAACCGCCTGGTCGCTGTGGGCAGTCACATGTTGTTTTTCTCGGTTTCTTCTCTTTGGATGACATCACTGCTATTTATCTCCCTCGCACCCACCTTGCTGAAGATAAACCTGGCGTCTGCTGCTGCAGGACTCCCGCGCCTGGTCCTCTGGGCCCTGTCCCAGCTCAATCTACCCTCACTCCCTGGCACTTTCTCCTCCCCTCATGATGTCACCCCCAGGTGTGAATAATGTGTCTCTCTGGGGCCTGTCCCAGTGAAGTCACCGTGGCCTGTGTATGCATACTCACACCTCACCATACTTTGCAAGCCTCTGGGGATTGAAGGGAGGTTAGGAAGAGTACAGTTGCTTTCAGAAATAATCATTTGGTAAGGAAGCTTGTATTGTGCTGAGGGGAGGCAAACAAATCAAAGGAAATTGTGATTAGAGAAGTTGGGATTGCTGTCGTCACAACTGTTTGGGATAGTAGGAACTGGAAAGGTCACTGCCTTCCCCATGACTATCATCTCTTGGCTTTTCTATGTTTTTTTATTAATGGCTTACTGTAAAAGATTCATTTTGCTCTCACACTTCTGAGAAGTCCAGTAGCTTTGTGGACATGCTGTGTCAGCCAACCAGAAGTAAAAAATACAGCACTAACATAATGGGAAGAGTAAAGAGAGACGTGTGTAAACACAATTTCATAATAGCACCGAACACCCTGGCAACAATCGGCCAACTACATTAATTAACCATGAAGGTTTTTTAAGTAAAATGCAATAGGAGAATCACACGTTGAGTCAGATCATAGTGGTTGAGATGGTTAATTCTGTGAAGGGACTTGGTACACAACACATGTGATGCATCGCAAATATGATGGTTTATGACGTGTGGGCAGAACAGAGGCTGAGTAGATACCACTTAGACCTCCAGGGTTATGGATTTGAACTTTGACCCAGAGTTTGCATGTTCTCCTCATATTACAAGGTTCCAGTGCCATGCAGATGGGACCTGACATCTCTCAGTTACCCATAGTGTGTGCATGGCTGTCAGTCCCATTCAGAGTGTTCTCTTGTGTCCTTTTCTTCCCAGGATAGGGTCCATGTCCCCCTGCAAATCAGTAGCGGATATGAGGCTGAGAGATCAGTAGTAGATTGGAAAATAAAAGTGGGCTTTAAGTTAAGGCAAGTCAAGTCAAGTCAAATTTATTGTCCCACCAGGGAAATTTAAGTTGCAGCCAAGCATTTAAAAAGGAAACAAACAAAATAGAAACCATTGAAAACAAATACCAGCATAGAGACAGTGACCAATACATAATACAAAACAAACCATCCACAAAAACCACACCACAAACCAGTACACGATTTCTACATGGAGAGACTAGGAAAGCAGAATGCATTTAGGTTGATGTTTAAATCATGTGAATCATGCTGCAGCAGTATCAGTCCTATCTGATGTGGCGTCCTAAGCGAGCGTCACCATCGGCGCCCCCCTTCCAAGATAAAGTGAAATTGGCTGGCAAGTCAGCATCTCCTCAGAATTTGGTGCCCTAGGCGGTAGCCTATGTGGCACAAGACCCCGTGTTACACAATAGACTAAAATTTCTTCCAGGGTGTCTAGAGCCTTATGCTGCTTGGGACTGGCTCCTGTTTCACTATGATCCTGTACTGGAAAAATGATTGGAAGATAGATGGAGAAATTTATAATATGCTTATTCACCATTTGTATAAGTGCAAAGGATTTTTTTTTACTTTTCACATATCCCATCCTGGTCTCCTGTTTCATGCACACATACACACGTCCAAGCAAAGCCCTGGGTCAGAGCACAGGGTCATCCATTTATAAAGCACCCCTAGAGCACTTTTTAGGGCAAAGGGCCTCGCTTAAGGACCCCACAGTGATTATTCTGCCAGTCACGGGATTCAAGCCAGAAACCTTCTGCATACTGGCACAGACTTCCAACTCAGAGAGCCATTTCAATCAGTCTCAGTCTCAGCTGAACCAAAGACCCAGATAACCACCAGCTCAGCAACAGTGTAGCCCAAAGCCAGTCTGTCACCCCCTTAATATATACATAAATGTGTGTGTGTGTGCGTGTGTGTGTGTGTGTGTGGGTGGATTATATTTATATTACAGTTGTGGGCGCCAAATGTTCCCCACAATGTAATAAAAACCTGTTATTTTGATGTTGATGTGAGGTTAGAGCCAGGTAGGGGTTAAGATAATTATTGTTAGAATTAGGGTTTTGCCAATAGAAATGAATTGAGAGTCCCCACAAAGACATAAAAGAGCATATGTGTGTATATCTTTCCTTCTGAAAAATTGCTGCAAATAACCTATTTTTGTGTTATGTGTATTGTCAGAATACGTGTTCAGTTGCTGAAATGTCAAATAAAAATAGTTCCTCAATACTTGTCTGATTGACTCATAGTGCTGGCACTGGAAACTCTAATTTAAAGTTTACATTTAAGAAAGTAAGGTATAAATATGCTTTCCAATTATCTTTCTGCCATTACTTATACAAAGAAAATAACAAATAAATATTCTTTCTAATTATCTTTCTGCCTTAGGTTTTTTCCCCACAGTTCTTCAGGACACTGCAAATGTGTTGGTAGATTCTGGAACATTCCCATTTTGTCTGAAATGTGTAAGTAGAGAAATTCAGATGCAGCCAGCTGATAGTATGATTCGGGCCTTGTTCCCTAGAGACATAGCTGTGCTTTACTACAGTCCTTAAGCTAGCTTTATATTATAATGGAAAATATAAGCCCTGGCATGAAACAAATCTGGAGTTGCACTTATTAAACATTCTAGTATATTGTCTTTGTCACTAATGACTTGCATTTATTCCAGCTTTAGGTTAGGGAAGCAGGGCTGTGTAATAAAATGTAAAACATCACTATTTCCCAATTGTTTTGGCATGGCTCATTACAATTATTAAACAAAAATGTGAGAACAGTCTTCTTAAACCTTTAAGTGCTATAGGATGCTGGCACTGCAGACAGATATTCATCATAGTTCTAATTTTAACTGGCTGCTTGGAAAAATGAAACTGCTCACTTAGTCATTATATTTTTAGAACTTGCAATCTTGGTTTCATGGGAATCGAGATGAGTGTCAGTGTTAGTCCTCACACTTTGACCACTGGGCTGTGATGATACATTTTCAAAGCTCTAAAACAGCAATTCCAGTTTAACGTCACTACTACAGGCCGTGAGCTTTCTGTCTTACAGTATTGATAAACCCATAGTGTGTGCATACCTATCATTCCCAATCAGAGTGTTCTCTTGTGTCCTTTTTGTTTGGTCATTGTGCCCTTTGAAGTTAGTTTGTATGTGTACCACACAAATAAATCTATATTTGTCCAAAACATTCCCAAAAATCTTACAAAATCAAAACACTTTCTGTCATGATTTTCCTGCAGTCTGAAAACAGCTTTCTGATCCAGTGACAAGATGTTTTGTACATCAGAATTGAGCCTGTTGTTTTTGTGATCAAAGGAACCGTCTTTTTGCTTTCTGTTGTGCTTTTGCTACATTTTATTGTGAAAAGTTAAAAAGAGAATGCTCAGGGCCATTGTGTATATACCAGCTCAACTTGCTGGTCATAACAAAACCTATGCTCTTTATGCTGTAAATAAGATTTATTTCCTTCTTTCTGAGTCCTGATCATTCCATCAAGAATGGATACCCTTATTAATATTTCATTTCTTTTATGCACAGAGTGACAAAATCAGACTATCGTAAGAATGGAATAGTAATCAGATTCATTCTCTCAGTCCATGTTGTTCCTCTGTTTATGGGTTACATTCCTTTTTTTGATGAGCATGCATTCTGGATTAAGGATCCTTTTGCTTGAGAAACAGCTGTAAGACTCCATGAAATGCAACTGTCTTTTTTTCTCTGATCATTTCTTGATTCATTGATCCATAATGACTGATGACATAGTATTTTTTTTTCTTTTTAACTAATTTTTCTATGATGCAATGCAAACAAACCTGGAAAATTATTTTTTCTTTTTTTCTTTTTCTGATGAAATGAATCCCAGTAGCTGTGCTGAAGTGGTAGGGTTAGGGTTATGTAAATCTGTGTACTGCTTATTGACTTATCACTGAATTCAGCTGTAATATTGTTATAACTCAGTGGTGTGGTGGTCAGCATTGTGTCCTCACACCTATGGGACCAGCGTTCATGGCTCCATTTGTGGAGTTTGCATGTTTTCACACGTGTTGTCATGAGGTTATCTCCAGGTACTCCTGTGTGTGACTGGTGTGTGTGTGACTGGTGTGTGTGTGACTGGTGTGTGAGTGACTGGTGTGTGAGTGACTGGTGTGTGTGTGCGCCCTTTGGTGGGTTGGCCCCCCATCCTGTGTTTTGTTTTCTGTCTTGTGCCAGTAGCCTCTGGAATAGGCTCTGGACCCCCCATGACCCTGAATAAGACAAATGGGTACAGAAAATGGTTGGGTGTATATCACTATACCTAACCTTCTATCATTAGAGGCTAATACGCTTTAATCTGGTTACTGAAATGAAAGATTAATCATTCTTTTGTGTTCCTAATAGCAAATATTACTTACAAATATTTAACAGGATAAAGTTGTAGGAAAAATTGTAATAAGTTTAAATGTAAAAATTAATAGTTATAGTTATTTATATTTTAACTGCAAGGTGAACCTTTTGTACTCTGACAAAACTCTTTGATGGCACGAGTATAAAGAGAAGCAGAACAAATGCAGTTAACGTTTGGCTCCAAAATAAATACAAATCACATATTAGCATTTCTACGTGTACGTGAACTGTGTGCCGATACTCAGTCTTACTTTCAGGTTGTTGTCCTTTATAATGACAGCCACAGGCCATTCACCAGTCGCAGGATCAAAATGTGGCCCCCACCCAAAGTGATTTTTCCAACAATCCGAAGTTTGACTGTACTGTCCCTGGACCCTGGCTGTGACTGAGGCTTCACTGACAACATATTACGCCCAATGGATGGTACGGTGAAGTCGTACGTACATTAAACATCGCCATCCAATTAAGCAGAGATAGTTTATCTTATCTTACGTCCCCCAGTCAGCAAGGACTTAATTTAAGCAGTCCGGTGTAGTAAACAAAAAAAATCTTTATTTTAATTGCTTTAATCACTTGGCTCTTGGATATGTTTTTTTTAATAGACACTGAATTCTGCTCTTTGTCTGATAATTAAACTTGGATTGTTCTTACGGCTTCTTTCCAAATATAACAGCAACTTGTGCCACACACATCACTTGTTTTTTTTTCCACCAAAATGAATTGTAGAGAGATGCACATGGTAATTTTGTATCGATGCTATATAAAAATTTAAAAATAGAAAATAATTGCCGCAAAATCTGTTGAATTATTATGACCATGCTGTCTGGAGGTTTGTTAATGCGCTTGCCAGAAAATTGGATTCATAATTAATCTCAATTATTGAAAAGAGAACAAATACATCTCCACCAACACCCATCCATTTTGTAAAACCGCTTATTCTGTTTAGGGTCACAGAGCCCATCCCAGAGGTTACAGGTGCTAAGTGGGGAATAGCCCAGGATGGGGCACCAACCCAGCACAGGGCACATTCATACACGCACACACCTATGGGGGGAGAATCCCACAACAACACAGGGAGAACATACAGACTCCACAGGGAGAACATACAGACTCCACAGGGAGAACATACAGACTCCACAGGGAGAACATACAGACTCCACAGGGAGAACATACAGACTCCATACACCCAGAACCCTGATTCTCGAATCCTGGTCCCAGAGGTGTGAGGTGAAAGTGCTACCCACTGCACCACCACGCCAACCCTGTCTCCAGCAATGTATAATATTCGATTGTAGCTTATCTTAAATCAAAATAAAATCATTGAAGTTGATAGATGTTCATAATAACAGGAAAATGAGGCTTCAAATCTTTGAAAGCGTCTAAGTAATGGAAAGAGGTGGCGATGCCCCCCCAGCCAGTAAATATGTGGCCCCCGGTTGCCATTCCTTACCAAAAAGTAAAAGCAAAATATGGGGCATTTAAATCTGTAAAGCAGAGCTGGCCAACCCATCGATCAGGCGATTGTGGCGTCTCCACCTTGATCACGAGATGATTAACGGATAAGCCTCGCAATCTGCAAAATGCTCTCCCCTGTACCTGGGGGGACTCGTTACATTTTCATTAAACCAATCCCGTGGGATGTGGCCTTTTAAAAGGACAACCCCTTCCCTTAGAAGGAAGGGGTTGAAATAATAAAGGGGGAATCAAAATTTTAGACATTTTAGATTTGTATTCATATATGTCTTCATGGTGTGGGGGTTAGGGTGGGCAACCTAGAAGAAATCTGCGCTTAGTCTGCAAATTCCCAGCAGATGTGAACTGGAAGATCCTGCAGGAATGAGGTGTGCACTCACCATCTACATTAACCATCAATTGCTTTGCTGGTTTTTATTGGGTTTTCACCAGTCACAGTAATCCCTTCCATATCAGGTTTTCAAGACTTAACACAAATGGCAATATGACCCACTGAGCCGCCATGTAATGGCAATAATGGCAAAAAACAGAAAGCTTGATAATAATAACTACACACAAAGCTGAACTACAGATATTTTATTCTAGCCTGACAGAACTTGTTTTCTATCAGGTATATCTTGCAAATATGAGTCCATCTGCTCAAGACTATTTTTGTACTCTTTTTCCTGACCACTGGCCTCTTTAATTACCTTTAAGCTTTTTTTTCTTTTCTTGCATTAAGAAGTTTCTCCAGGGAATCTGTGGTGCTTCTGGTCCTTGTCGTACATCACTGGTCGCACTAATGCAGCCCTAAGCACCCAACTTTGAGAGGTGCTATTTTTACACGCCTAAGAAGTCACTAAGCTGGGACCACTGCTTGCTGAAAGCAACTTTTCCTCCTGAAGCAGACTGACTGTTTGCTAAAAGTGTGCTGTTTTACAGCAGTTACAAATGCTTTGTCACCACTTTAGCCACATTTCTTTTATAATTCATAAGTAGTTTTTTTTAATTGCGAGTTTTCCTTGGTTATTAAATTTGAAACATTTATATGCACAACATAAACTGACTGAACATCCTTGTTAAGTGTCCATCTATCCCTATTGGTAAGCTTTGATGACTGCTTCTCTTTGTTCATGCACTTTGTCCATGGCATGTTTCCCTCAACATATTAAATGATTTTTCATTGTTGTTCTGAGTGATGCACTACTGGCACAGACTGTGAATTGCCTCATATCATTTTGAAAATTCTCATAGTGTTGATTGTCAGACCAATTTTAGAGCTGACACCTCCTGGCATTTAACCGAATATGACTCACCTTTGTAGCTATGTTTGTAATTATGATTTATAGACTTCAAAGTTAGAGTCCCTTTCATGTGATGATTCCATAATTTGTGTCTACTGACATAATGAACTGCTGTAATTGGCTGACACACCTAAATTTAGATATAATACATGAAAAGAAAGTAGTCATCCCATTGAAAAGGGTTATATTTTCTAACTGCTATGTTTATTTAAAGAAGCATAACCTATTCATGTTTATAATGATGGACATTTTGTATGGAGTGGTTCAGGTTAAGTACCCCAAGGTACTGTTGGAGACAAGGGCATAGGTTTGGTTTCTACAGTAGTCAAATCAGCCCCGAACCCCAGCCCCCTAAATACACACAGTACTCCCACAATCAGTAGGGACATGTCCTACCATTCATCCATTATCTCCCGCTTGATCCGAGGTCGGGTCCTACCATCCATACCCAAATGTATGAGCCTTGTTTGAGGCTTGGAACCAGCAACCTTCTGATTGCCAGCACAGAACCCTGGCCTCAGAGCCACCTCTCTGCTCGCATACGATGCGTGAAAAACCAGTTTAACTGGTTGTTGTAATGTATCTCATTTTACAATGCATAAAATGAAATATATTAAAATAACCAATTAAACTGGTTATTGATGGTATTTATGCGATACATTGAACAATGTAAGACTGCACTTGTAATTGAGCTTTATAACTGTACCTGTACATTTTTACATGAATATTATTATTACTACTAGTGTTTATTATTAGTAGTAGAGGTAGTAGATGCAATAAATTTTTTAGTCATCAGAGTTCTTTCTCTGTATGCTAATACTTTAGCAGCAGTATCAGAAAACTACAAAACATTACTATCATTACCAATTATGTGGCTAAACTCATAGGACCATATATTGTCAAACTAAAAGTTCTTTTTGCTGAAAGTGGGTATCGGAAACTTTGCATCTGTTTCTCATTTCCTACTCTGAGGTTGGACAAATTCTTGTCCTAGTCAAATTTTTAACATGATCTCTAGAAGTGATTCTGAGACACCGGTCTTGTTAGCTAAAGGTAACTCCTTCATCTCCTATGAGATGTTCTGCTACTGTCATCTTCTCAGTTGGGCCATTGCACAGGGCCCTTAGCCCTAATTGTTCCAGGGGTGCGGCATGGTGACCGATCCTGTCCTGTGACTCCAGAAACTTTTTCTCACAAGCGAAGACCCTAATTAATCAGAGGAATTTTTATGTAATCCACACCCACTACTGACAGAGATGTATAATTAAGCACAGTGTTATGCAATCTCCTGCAACAAATATTATCAGCAGAATGGGTGGTGGTTGTACCAGAGAGGCTAGTTACTTTCCATTTGGCACCATTATAGAATGTTCTTTCCATCAAGTCAGTTCGCCACATCTCTGCCCTGCTAGAGCCGTCCTGGTAAAACGCAAATTGATTGATTGATTGATTGATTGATGAAACCCTTTATTGCTGTT